GACCCTAATAATAATTCCTACAGTTTCAATAGGGACCTCGCGGCCCGACGTTGTCGGTGCTCGGGCCCTAATAATGGCTCCATCTAAAAATAGGGTAAGGGTTAACCCAAACCATTTTACACATAATTTCTGTAGTTAAGTATACGGCTGTGAAAATACGTAATTATAAAGATACCTAAATACAGTAAATCATCTGAATCTTGGTATAATACTGGTTGCGTTTATTGGAGGTTGTTTTAAATGTCTATTAGATCAAATGTATTAAGAGTCCATTTAGATGTACAGAATTATCACATGGCATTTCTGCTTATGTTCATAACCACATCTTGGCCAGATGGATGTAATGGCAACCTTTATATTCCAAATGAGATTATAGTACAGTGCTCACTCACTTTAACTTGCTAAAGGATGAGACAGGCCGAGGAGAACGTTTGTTCTTAAAGCAATAGTTTGACTTTGTTAAGAACTCTTTATCCACTGTAGTTCTGAAGGTCCGCCTGGTCTTTCTGTCTTTTTTCTTCAATAAATCAGGTATTTGTCATTATTATGTTATAAATGCTTAAAACAAGTGTGTAATAACAAAAAAGTAAAAAAATGGATTTGAATTTTCATCAGTTTCTCTTTATAAACAATTGTAAATTTTGAGATTGAAAACTTTTGAGATTACAAAAATGAAATTCAACCTATTTTACATATTCTCAAACAGTTTTGTCTGAAGACAGCTGAACCTTGCACTCCTCACATATCCAGGATGTGCTTTTATGGCAGAGAGTGCACTGTTTCCTCTTGGCTATATACACTAGATATTGAAAAACATTATTGTAATAAAGTTGGGAATAAATATACAGTGTATACAAACTGAATTACTTACTGTGGTTGAGATGGCGACATTCCTCCTCCAAAAGACTCGAGGGGACTCTCCTTCCTCTGCCTCGTGGACTCCTCGACATGGTGGCGAAAAAAGCCGTCAAAAACTCTCCGAAACAACACTAATACTATTATTTACAACACTACAATATAATTTATGAAGAAAACACCACTAAAACACCTCTGAAACATTGCAGAAACACTTCAACAATAGTCAAAAGTTGTACTCACTCGGAGCTGCTCTCCTTCCTCTGTTCAGATCACAAAAATCCCCACAGCCTCTTCGAGCCACTGGTTTCTCCATTACCGTAATATATGCATGTATCACTGGAAATACCTGAGATTCTCAGGTTTCAGAATCCGTTGGAATTACGTCGATTGCCCAAATGGTTGAGGAGTTACGGTAATTTGAATTCGGGCGTAACTTTCTGACGCCGGCGACAGGGTTCGCGTTTAAAGATTAAGTACTGTCTTTGCTCTGTACTGTATTTTGTCTACAGGAATACATAATTGCTGTGCTGTGTTGTAAGATTGACAATAAAATAATGAATTTCATTTGGTCGTTGATGAAAAGGTTAGGATGCTTGAAATAAGAAATTCTGACTTTGACAAAGCAGTTTTGTACTTGTCAGTGGTGTGACTTTTTGCATATTTATACAACCAATGTGTTTATGATTACATTTTAAATCATAAAGTTAGATCTAGACTCATCATTTTGCTCTCAGAGTGCACCAGATTGATATGTAAAACTTTAACAGGAGTGTTACAGATGTTTTCGTAACCAGAAAAACCTCCGGCTAATGTAGTATTTCGATAAGATTTTCACTGCTATAAGTAGAATTTCAAAAATCTCTCACGTTATTCATGATCCCCCCCCCCCACACACACACCTCTACTAAAGCAAGCTTTCCTCACAGAGAGGCGCTCTTTCACAAGTAGACCCAGTTCCTTTACAGCATTGCAAATATGTAGCCAGTTCTGACTGTAGGAACCTGCAGTCGCTGCAGTCATGGAGCCTTTATGTCTGGGCCGCTGAGTCGTATGTGTCTTTATTTCTTGAGGTCCCTCACAAACACCGGCATTCATCAACACACACAGGAAACCACAGATGTGAGCGCAACGCCTGCGTCTCCATCACACACAGCAAAAGCAGAAGGTAGCCTCTACTGTCACACCACAGGGCTGCTCCTGCTTAGCGTCTGCTTCTCCTCTCATCGCTTTCGTGATGCTAAGGAGCTTGCGGAAACCAACAAATGCGATGAAACCAAACAAGCTACTAAAACCATGTGGGGATTTATTTTGTGAGAGAAACTGTGTGCTCGACTCCTTATCATGTGTGACGTAGAACTGTCTCAGCTTGTAAACCACAAGCCAAATAGTCAACTTCCTCCTGCTGCCGTACCACAAACCTGCCGGAGAGAATTTGCTCCTCTCGTGCAGTTTAGCGTCGGTGACTGCTGAGCTGCAAGATTCATCTGTGACAGGCTGGACACGTGTCCAAGCAGCAGCTTGTCCTGCGCATGCTGGGGATAGGCCTCAGCACCCATGACCAGGAACAGGATAATAAAGTCAGTGATAAAAGCAGAATTACAGCCAAAAGGATCTTGTGTCTACACATTATTGAAACAATAAATCATTTAAAGGCTGGATCTCTGTTGCCTCAGTTTGCTTTGGCAATAAGCCCTAATAACCATCCATCTGTCTGTCTGAGGCGGACCAGTGTTCTAGTGATGATGTTTTGTACTCTCATTTGGCTGACTGGCGGGGCATTTACTGAGTGTGGTGTTGACCACAGACCTTATTTCAGGCATCTAAACAAATGACATTCAAAAATGCTGACTCATTTCTGGGTTTTATGACTCAATCCTGCAGCGCTCTATTCTGTCTGCTGATTATGGTAAATGGACTGTACTTGTATAGCGCTTCTCTAGTCTTTCCGACCACTCAAAGCGCTTTAACACGACTTGTCATCATTCACCCATTCATACAATGCTGGCCGGGGCTAAATGACACCTGCCTATCAGACTAACTCATTCACACACCGTAGGCACAGCTACGGGAGCAATTTCGGGGTTAAGTGTCTTCCTCAAGGACACATTGACATGCAACTAGCAGAGCCGGGGATCGAACCGCCGATCCTCTGATTGAAGGACGACCCTGCTCTCCACACTCAGCCACAGTCGCCCAGAGGTGATTAAAGTATCATTTATTTATTCGCTGATCACACAAAGACAGTTTGTGTTGTGTTGAATGCACACAAAAAAAGAGAAAAAGGCTTAAAGTTCCAGTGAAACAGAAGTTTGAGCGTCTTTATCTTCTGTACTGTGACGTATTTCCAGGTGTAACAGAATATTTGAGCGGCGTACAGATATACTGTAAATCAAGTGCTGATTGTATACCGTGATATGGAGCTACAGAGGACTGAAGACATGCAGGAGTTCCTGTACGCTTCTCATGAAAAGGAAATGTGTTTATAGCACCTTTAACCTTTTAACAATTCCTCACACACACACACACACTATACTTGACAGTGGAGCTGATATTCAGGGCACTGGTCAGGTTTTGGGTTCAGTGTCTCGCTCAAAGACACTCCAACATTAAGAAAAACAGCCGTCCTAATTGCAGTGGAACTGAAGTTTAAAGTAGCACTTGCAACTCTCAAAAGTACCTCAAAATTGTACTCTAGTACTTCTTTCCCTTGAGGTTACCCAGAAGACCCATTAACCAATGGAACACTAAGTGTGCAAGAGAGATGTTTGAAAATGTCGACGTGCCCTCTCATCTTTAAGAATTTAATGTGCCGTCATAATCAAATTCAATGTTCATTGTAATATTGATATGGTACACTTTAACAAGTAAGTAAAACAATTGACACTCTAAAAAGGTTACAGACCCAAATTCTCTGGTGTACAGTTAAAGCCAAAGATTACAGTACGTGAACGATTGTGTCATGATTGTTTGAGCCTTGCTCTGCAAGATGCACAGTGGTATGTATCTCTGGCTATGTGTGATAATACTCGGTATATGCCTTATAACTATTTATACACTTGTGCCACCAACCCTGCGATTACCGGCCCGAGTCACCGCTGACGTACCTGTGAAATAAGCTTGTCTTCACTTGCATGTGGTCAGTAATTCACTGGTTGCACTTACTTACAACATTAAAACTATTAAAAAGAGCTGTAATATAAAATGAAATGTAAACCATTCAAGAGATAAACATTTGCTCATAAAAACACACCAATGTGTATCAGCACTTGCGCGTATGCGTCCACATCTGTTTGTCTACGGATTAAACAAACAAGATACCTGTTCAGTGGTGAGTATCGGAGGGGCTGGCAGAGGTATTTGTGAACATCGATCAGAGCCAGGCTAGCTGTTTCCCTCCACCTACAGCCATTGTGTTAAGCTAAGCTAATGTCCGGACACCTGCTTGGTAATTAGGCACTCATTTCACTCTCAGAAGGAAACTCGCTTCTAAAAATGTTGGCCTAGTCCTTTAGTAACACATTAAATCAACTAAAAAAAATAACAAATAAAGCACATCGCAATATGTAAAGACCAGAATACAGGAAAAAAATATCTCTTTTAAAAAGCATGAATTTGTTTCTTCACTGCTAAAACTAGTTTGGGTTCTCGTGAAGTCTTTTGTTGTAGACATGATTGTATGTAGATTAGGTGAAATGACTGTCACAGTTGAGACAGTTGATCTGACTGGCTTGTTATCATGTCAATAATGTGGAGCACCTGCTGTACGCCTGAACCCCGAGATGTAGCTTTCGGTAGCTGCTGCTTCTACGTCACGTCACAATGAAACGTAAATGATTCTTAGGATTTTTCTTAGGATTTGTGTGTCTCACTGTGACACTGTGGAACACAAAGAGTGTAGTCTGTTATAATTCATGTAGCGCCAATGCTACAATTTATTTAGTTAATTTAGAAAACTCAATGCTACATATCTTAGCATTTATAGACGAAGCAACATTCGCCAAATGCATACACGTTGCAATGAAAAAACATAAATAATTCTACAAAACACAAACAATGTTAATATATTATCGTAGATACGGATTGGAAATCAATGACCCCCTTTACACCTTGCATTAAAATAACGATTGTGATCCGCCAAACCACCTCAGGAGGTTGTCAGGGACACATTGTGAGCACAGTGAACAACAAGTGTAAATGCAATTGCGTGTCCACATAGAAAAACTACGTGGGCGAAAAATACGTTATCATGCGTGACTGCAATTAGACAGTTAGCGAGCTACGCTACTAGCAAGAAAGCTGCAAGATAGCTTCTCAAAATGGATATTCAAGACACTCGTGGAAAGAGTCAAGACAAGACCAAGTGTTTGGTCTGACTAAAGTATGCAAGCAAAACGAGAGGGGGATGTGACGTTGTTTGAGCTCGACAGAGTGACCGGTTCGCCATCGGATCTCAATGTGGACACTGGAGACAAATATTAATACACGGTGTAAATGTTATCAGGTGATTCTAGACACAATCAGGGTACGAGACTCATTTTAAGGCCAGGGGAAAAGTCGGTCAATGTTTTCACTTGTGGACGCTCCAGCCTGGAGCCTTTCATGTTAGATTACATTTTATAAATAGGCTAAAATTATCAGAACAATACAAACATCCAGGCTTCCTCATACGTTCCTCAAAAGTTTACTGCAGTTTTAAATGTTCAAGACCAGTCTTTGGGAATGACTGGGTTGGACTGGCGAACCAGCTTTGAAGCTTTCGGATGGCAGTGTCTGTTGAGTGGTTCTTCAGCAGTCCGTCCGTTAGCCGTTAGGTATTCTACTCCTGTTGTTAGTCTCAGAAGTTTGGCTATTAAAAGGAAACATCCTCCGAACGGCGCCCACATCGACACTCCTCCTGAAGGTGTCCGTGGTGAAATAGTATGCGACGGGATCTAGTACTGTGTTGAAACATGCCACCATCAGGCTGTAGCGGTATGCAGCCTGCATTGGGTCTGGTATAGTATCTCCATACAGATAGAGGAGAACCAAGATGGCGTGGTAAGGGAGGAAGCTGAGTATGAAAATGAGGAGGCTGGTGGCGATCATCCTCTGAATCTTTCTGCCGTCGACCAGGTTGGTCTGGGCCACGGAGCTCCTTCCGACAGTACGGGCCAGACCCCAGGAGCAGATCAGCATGATTACGAGTGGGATTCCAAACCCCACAAACAGAGTGGGTAAAACCACCACAAGCTTTGTGGCATAGGCCGGCAGGCTATCAAAACAATCCTTGTTGAGATTTTGTGTGCGCTGGGAAAGGTAGATGGGCACGCTGGCACCAAAGGTGAGCATCCATATTCCGAGACAAACCAGCGGCGCTTTCTTCCTCCCTTCCTGGACACGGGTCGACATGGGGAAGGCGACGGCCATGCAGCGGTCGAAGCAAATGGAAGTGAGGAGAAAGATGCTCCCATACATGTTGGCCTTCAGGACCAAACCAAGGACGTCACACAGCCACTGAGGAAGGTCGTCAAATCCCAGATGGTAGTAGATCCTCAGGGGCAGCGTGAGGATGAGCAGTACATCTGCTATGGCCAGGTTAGTCATGTAGACTACGGTTTGTGATCTGGACTTGGTGTGGTGGAGGAAAAAGACCATTGCTATGAGATTGAAAATTAAACCCACAATGAAGACGAAGGAGTACATGCACACAAGGAAGATGTTGATGTGTCCTGTACTGTTGTTGTGATCGGGGATGGAGGTGTTGTTGGACATCGTGACCTGAGATACAGAAGAGAGAGGAGTAGTTTGAAAAAGTCTAAATGGTTGAGTATTAGACCCTTTGCTAAGCCCCACCCCCCACTAGTACTCCGGAGCCCACACTGTCACTAACTGCACTCGCTGAAGAAATATCTAATTTTTGCAAAAACGAAAAAGAGTTTTCAGAGAGAAGTAGACAGAAGAGTCTACAATATGCATTTGAAGAATATATCCATGATGTCAAACTGATTCAGCGCCTAAACAGATTAAAAAGATAAAGATGGAGGCCAACGCCTGATGATCAAACAATGAAATTAAGGAACATTGTTCACTGTTACAACCATTAAAAAGCAAAAGCAGCGTGTGTATACATTCAGAATACCTTCAGTATTCTAATTAGTAGCTAATTAGTGCTAACGCTAGTTAGACAGACAGACAGACAGACAGATAGTTCTAGAGATAGTTTACAATGACAATAAACGCTGTATCTCTGACATGCATAGATCAAAGTGCTTATATGTGAACCCGCGGGTGTTTTCTCAAACTCTAAATCGAGGTCAGCTACTTCAGGGCTCATTAGAAATTTCCATACAAAATCTATCAATATTGATTTTCATAAAGCAACATGTATTCAAGAGGAAAAAGATCTATTTGCTCTGTGTAGCTGCAGTTCCTGGTGGAAAGCAGAACTCACTTGTGTTGGTTGCATTGATGCAATCTGCAACTTATAACTAAATGATCTTTATGGCTTCCTGGGCATTATTTTACCAAACATCTGATTGGTAAACTGGCAGCTAATCATCCCTCTGCTCTCACAAGTTTTAATTGCTGTGATGCCCATGCAAAAAAAATAACATACAGTGCACATGCACCCACAAGTCATTTTCCATCAGCACGTGCGTTTTTCTTGAACGATATGAACTTGAATGGCACATGCAGTACAGTAGAACATTTTACAACAAATGTATAAAGTAGCCAAGGGTGTGACTTTACCTGTTGGGTGATCGGAAGAGGTGAGGATCCAGAAGAAAAGGAGGAAGGTGTGTGTGTGTGTGTGTGTGTGTGTGTGTGTCACCCATAGACTGCATAATAATTTGTCACCCCAGCATACTGTCACACTCTACATGTGAGGCACAGGAAGTTGACCAATCTTTGTTGGTCTGCCTCTTTCTGTTAACCTGCTGATAAGAAAATGTACCTTTTTTTGTTACATTCTAGCTTCAGATATTTTGTTTGTCTGATTAAATCTATTTTATTTTATTTCATTTTTAAATCCATTAGTGTTCTTGTTGCTTGCTTTATTTATTTTATTATTATTCAGTTTATATTTATTTATCTTGGTGTGTTCTTGACTTTTTACTCTTCTGCACTTCTGCTATACGACACCCATATCTCCTTACAGCCCTGATTTGATGTTTCAATTTATCTTGCAGAGAGCGCCCTCTAGCGGCTAATTCATCGATAACTACCGTAATGACCGGAAATTTAGAGATTCCTGAAATGTAACATGGATCGAACGCGTATGTAGCCTACATCATCTAGAAAACAGCAAATCATCTCTAACAGAAGAAAGAGCAAAGAGACATTGGTAAAATGTTTTAAACATTATGTCTGGAATCAACGGAAACCAGACCTCGTGGCGCAACGGTAGCGCGTCTGACTCCAGATCAGAAGGTTGCGTGTTCAAATCACGTCGGGGTCAAAGCTTTTTAATCGATTGTATTGCTTTTATGTTATTCGAAGTAATTGGGAGGGGAAATGTGGTTGGACATCTTACTGTCAACAACACGCACAATGTTTCAGTGGCGAATACATATAAGTAGTCAATGCCTGCAATAATTACTCTGAGCAGAACTTCTATTTGCAGTGGTGGAAGAAGTGCATGAATTATAAAGGAGATATCAAAGGAAAAATTATAGTATTACACTGTCAAAAATAGTAAGCCAACATTTAAAGTCTCAGTTATGCAAAAGTATGTATACATAGTAAAAAATGTTATATGAGTTTCAAAAATAAGTCAGACTTTTTAGAAATGGAAATAAATGTTTATGTATTGCTTGCTTGATTTACATGCTACTAATAGTTTGTTTAATTACATTTTTCCCAGTTTTGTCTATATTTGGCTGATAAAACAGAATCCAATCAAATTGTGTATATTTTATTGTTTTATTATATAAATGTTGTAGCTGGTGGAAGCAGAGTTGATTTTACCTTCGACTTTTACACTTGAGTAGTTTAATCTGTAACTATGCTACGTTACTGGAACTCTGTTAAGGCATCTATCGTAGTTATGAAACCTCAAAAATAGAATTTAGACGACAATCTTTTGATGTGTATCCCTGATATGATGGTTAATTGTATTCTGGACATCAACAATACAAATAGACTCAGTTCATTATTCTAAAGCCTCTTGCTATCGCTTCTGTTAGCTTATGTTCAGAACTTTATTACAAAATATTTTTAAACATACTAAGTTACAAATACAGCAGACATCCAGAGTTGTTTTTTTTTTCACCATCTACAGTCTACGATCAGAACAAGGAAATAGTTGAGGAAGCAATAATTCGTGGATCACCCGAGTCATTCCTCTTGAAGAATTTAAAACAACGCTGATGATTTGGACAGATGAACAGTGGCTACGCTGCGTTAGTGAAGAATCTCAACCCCTATCTCATCGCCCAGCCGTGCAGCACGTTTTGATGATGATGATGATGATCCCTGTCATTTCTTCTTCAAGAAGTCATGGTGTGTTGTGGTTGAGCTCACTGTTGAGACAAGGCAGAGAGACAGGGGTTACTTAATGTACATTTGCATTGTTAAGTGTAAGGATGACACAAAAAAGTACTTTTTACATCAAATCTCAGTGAAGTACTTTAAGGTGCAACCAGCCAGGAACAATCATCTATTAGTGGCAACAGTCTATAATCTACTGACCAGATAGCACCAAATATGTGCAGGACATTTTTTTGTTTTTGTTTTTTGAACAATAGCAGTACCAGAAAAACAACGCAGATCAGGGGGACGATTACATTGGATTTCCTGTATATGTTTCGCTGATGGAAAGCTTTAATTTTGAAGGCTGCAGCAGCAGGAAAAGTTCATTTGCTGCCATCTCTCTATGTACCCTATTGTGCTGTAACATGATAGTTAACTGTAACAGCGACGCTGCGAGCCAAGGCATCGATTCCTTATGACACCTGTAGCTAATAGGTTAGCTACTTGCTAACTTTAAAGGCAAGGTTGGTAATCTTGAGGATTACTTTAAGGAGGAAATCTAGCTAGATTTTTTTTAATTATCCAACTGAAAAATCCATCCCAGTGTGACAAACTTTTTTTCGATGAAAGTAGCAAGCAGAAAAGTTGCTAAATCTAGCAATAAAGTCGCCAAGTCAGCAACACTGTCAGCTCGAGTGAAATGTTTGGACGGGCTTATGTCAGTCCTGCGACATCCACAGATACCGGATATTTGTCTCTTTTTTTTGTCAGCGTTTGGTTCATTAATTGCTGTCAGGATGTAATGAAAATTTCAAGAAGAATATCAAAAATGTATTCGAAGAAGATTACCAACCCTGCTTTTAATTTAGCCCACAGCCTCGTGGATGTAGTCTCCCTTTGTTTGGATTATTTTGGGGATCTTTACAGACACATTTTGGTTGTTTCAAAGCTCGGTTGGGGTTCAAAAGTCACGTGTTTGGACCACTTTATCGTAGCTACGGAGCAGGCTGACTAGTTTTCCGAGAGATTCCTTCCAACCCTGAGCGCGACGAAAAAGCAAAATGGCCGCCGTGTGAATATGACGAACAAGAAACCAACCCGTATCCCAATTGAAAGCAGATGAGGCCAGACAGTGGTGTCTTTGAATGCGTCCTTTCAGCACAAGTAGAAATAACTTTCCCCCCCCTCAGCTTCACATAGTCTAGTTTGTCTCTAGCGTGCTCTGGTCTCACCTCCTTGCCGCAGGTTCCACAGAGACATCCAAATAGTCCGTTGACCATCTGGATGACACAGAGGGCGAGCTCCACGCACGCCGCCACCAGCAGAGTGGAGAACAGACCCACGTTGAATTCAACCACATTCTCCGGCTCTATACACCAATCCCACAGTTCCTTGTCGGACAGGTAGCTCCCGTTACTGCAAAGGATGAAAATTAGTGGCGCGGTCAAATGTGAATGAGGAAAATTCCGCATTTTATTGAGTGGATTGAGTTCTCATAAAACGTATGATGTCCATCCACGGAGGCTGGCTGTACCCGTTAGCGAAGGGCGTCCCCCATTCTTCAGTGGGGTTGTCTGCGTTCTTCCACAAGCATGTTGGCCCGTTGGCAAGGCCCAGGGCAGCAACACTCAGACTGTACACGGCCCCCGCCACACCAACCGCTGCAAAACCAATGGACAGGAACATCTGCGTGGAGGCGCACACAGTGGAGTCAGATTCAGCCATGACACTGTAACTGCCCAACTGTTTGGAGAGCTTTTCTTATGTTTAGCCCTGTGTATTTGTCTCTTTGATGTTTCTTTTCTTTTTTTTAACTGCGACATTAGCTACATGCTTCTTTGTTTGTACATGTGTTTGCAAGTGTGTTTTCTTATTTATTAAGGAGACAGTGTTTATGGATTTGGCGGCATCTAGCGGTGTGGTTGCAGATTGCAACCGACTGAATAGCCCTTACTCAGGGGCCATTTTAAAAAGCGCTATAGGCTCTTTCTAGAGGCAGTGTTTGGTTTGTCCGAAACATGGTGGTGCAACATGGTGAAGAGGACCAAGAAGGGCTCATCCTTCAAGGAAAACACATATTTCTTAGTTCATAGTGATTATACACTAACAAAAACATAGTTATGAATATTATATTCCATTTCTGCAAATAGATCCCCCAAAAGGCTAAACACTGTTCCTTTAAGTGTCTTGATTTTATATGTCGTTCCTTGACCTTGCATGTCAAGTGCAGCCATGTCCAAATACATGTAGGAGCCACTTATAACAGCTGGAGTCGGGTAATCCATCGCGGATTACATCAGGTGTTATATGTGTCTGCAGCTTGCACCTGCCACGGTGCCTTTCTTTGATACAAACACTAGGGGTCCACAGAGTACGACCCTTATCTACTTTGTGCAACTTTGTGCCTGAAAAGTTTCACAGTACATTTTAATTTTTTTATTTTTTAAAAGAAGATTGCTACACTTCACAGAGAAAAGTATTTCTGCTACAGCTGGAAGATAATATATCAATGTGACGGTGATAATATGGGACTGGACGCATATAGACAAACAGTGACATCTCAGTTAGACAGCATCCACACATACTGTACTTACCCCACAGCGGTTGGCACAGCAGTTCTTAGCACTGGTCAGGTGAATGTGGATGGCAGGAATGAGGACCTGACAGCAGAAACGGAGAGAGGTGACATATTTAATATAGGGAGAGAAACAGATACACAATGAGAGAAGACCGTGACTTGAACTGGGCTGGACTGGAGTGAACTGGACTCCCTTTAAAGAGGTACTCTTTACTCTAGAATTACATTTCCATGAAGTTGAGTCAACAGCCAGACAACAAACTAATGAGTAAAGTCAGCGCTTTATATTGACTTTTATTCCTTAAGTTTGGGTCATGCTCCAAAAACAGTGGATCCTACAATTCCCATAATGCAACACGCCTTGTCTCAGTTTGCAACACAGACTTTCTGTTATATTTTCCCCACGTCCAAGCGTAGACAACCCTGATGACATCACTATGACATCACGGGGGGAATTTTTTTTTTCAGGTTTGACAAAGCTTCTCGAGAGCCGCAGAACACATTAAACAAAAGGTTGAGTCATACTTCCCATGATGCAGCCTGCTCTCCAAAAAATGATGTTCCCATTCAAAGAAACTGCATTGTCAATTATGTCCAAATTTAAAACTTATTTTCTACCGGATTACGTCTGTTTGTGACGTATCGCGAACACGTTTCTGATCAATGTGCGCGGAAGTACGGGTTAACAAACGCAGGACTTTCACCCAGGCAACTGCCGTTACATAACAGATGTATTTATTTAAAACCAAACCAGGATGTTTTACTCAACCGTACCAAGTATTTTTGTTGCGTGTTTCGTGTGGTTTCAATTCACAACGTTAACCACGTATTTAAAACTGCGACTGTAATGGGAGAAAATAAGTTTCTCTCAAAACGTAATTGAGATGGAGAACGCATTAGTAATCTCTCTTTCAATTGTAACCAAGTAGTTTGGGTAGAAAAACACTCACATGAATCATATCATATATTCTGTCATGGTCGTATGGAGCTTTTTGGAAGCTCCGACATTAATCCCACTTAATCTGATCTCAGTCTACTCACCATGATTCCTCCTCCTATCAGGCCCGCCATATATTTGACCTCCTCGGTGATGCGCAGCTCTCCATCCATGTCTTCGGCTGAATACTTTGTTTCAAAGCCAGGGAAGAAGAGCATGATGTTGCAGATGATCGACACCGCCGCCATGACGTAGAGCGGGACGGCGATGAACTTCGAACAGGCTCCTGTGCACATGATGTCTGCGGATGGAAGTTGTTCAAAAAGGTAAAAAAAAGGTCTAAAAATCCCAGCTGCTCCCCCAAACCAAATATGCTCCTCTATCAGTGGAACCTTTTCCTCACACTTGGAAAGCAAGGTGTTCGCTATCACACGTCAAGTGCAGCTTCATGCATCCGACGTGACAGAAGGGAACTGTTTGAATATATATTTGAGGGTTTGGAGGGGGTGGAGGGTAGAAAGGTGGAGCTATGGGTGATAAACTGGAATATCACCCACTTCATGACCCATGGGTGGGTGTGCGTTTGTGTGCATGTTTCTATAAGAGCCATAAAAGCCAAGCCTGTGGTCTATACAGCATAAGCCTTATGAAGCAATAAGAAAATACACATTATTCCCTTTTAAGCACAATTTATTTTGGGTGTTTTATAAAATCCTTTCAGCTATGGTGGAAAGTAGCTAAGAACATTTACTCAAGTACTGCACCTACAAATTCGAGGTAATTGTACATCACTTGGGTATCTCTATTTCATGCTACTTTCTACTTCACGTCACGAAAGGGAAAATCTTCATGTATGTGAAGCTGGAACATGGCGACTAATCGTTTCAGCTGAACATTTGTGTGCAAAGATCTGAATCTGTGAGTAAAACTGTCAGATGAATGTAGTGGAGCAGAGTAAATGTACTTAGTTACATTCCTGAGAGAAGGGCGTAGAGAAACAAGGAGAGAGAAGGTTATGTCACACCAACAGCTCTGTGTGCATTGCTACGGCTAACATCTACAGTCAGTACATTACATATTTGGAGCTAAAAAACCCAGAAAAACAATCCCAGGAGTCAAATTTGTGTGAGTAACATGAAGCCGAAATAAGTTTTGTCTGATCTTGAGTCAATGCTCTTTTTTTTTAGCAAATATCACATGAAAAACAATACATGTGATACATATACATATGTAGGGATTATTCTAACCACATTTCTTGTTTTAATGTGAATTCATCATAACCATTATTCATTCTCAGGATGCAAATTACAGAATATCGTATCTTTTTGTGTTGACATTTTATGCCTTTATTAGACGGAGACAGTGGAGGGATGACAGGAAATAAGGGAGGGGCGGGTGCAACAGAAATCCCCGGTGTTACGTTGCTGTTTTTGTTTTTCGGACAGGCTGCACACTGTATGAGTTATCACAGATCCTGATCCAGCTGAGCCACATCCACTCCCCTGAGTCAGAGCCTCTGGGACTCCATGTTCTTTAGCACATACAGCAGATCAAGCATATTTGCTTAACATGAACAAGAAGTATCTTTTATCAGAACACAGATAACGAGCTTCCAGTTTGTAGAAGTACAAGTCTGTGTGTGTGTGTTTATGATTTGATTACATTATCAGTGAATTATGGCACTGTGTTCAAATGTGTAGGTGTAGGGAGTGTACAAATGGACTTTAACCAACATCTGTCAGGGATGCACACACAAACGCACGCACACACACACACACACACACACACACACACACACACTAAGCCATGTATGCTCAAGGACATCTGGTGGTTGCTGTGATTCACACTTTTTGGAGAAAAAAACAACTATTTTTTTGACGGATCATTGACTGCTGACTCGTCACTCCTCTTAACTGGCTGGTAGTGATCAACAACTGCTTCAGTAGCAAAAGGCTGGGCTAAAAACCAGCCTTACCTGATCTGTTGCAGGCCACATTTTGGCCTTATAGTCGTGGCTCAAAGACTGATATCCATAGAAAAGTTTAGTCTCATTTTGAGCATCAGCAGATTGATTCCATACCTGAAAGTGAGACACGATACGAGATGAATGAATCCCCGTTTTTGGTAACTCCATCGCCATCTTGACTGTAAGACAATTGAGTGAGAATAAACCATAGACTGCACATAATGTGGACGTAGTCAACGTGACCTCACCCGTTGGTTTGTCGCCATCTTGGTTTGTGGCCATCGCCGTCTTGTCTTTTTGCAACTAGACGTGACACGAGAGGGTGGAGCTAAGTATCGATAATAATAATAATAAGACATCTTTAGGCGACCAATACGGTTACAATTAACTTTATGGAACTGTAAACACACTGGGAAAAGGTTAAAGATGAAAGACTTAAACATGGACAACTACCAGACCAACACTATGGCAATGACCTGTCAATCACAAGGTAGCCCCGCCCTAAAGCTTCTTTGGTTGGGAGGGGCGATGGAAACTTAACCCATCTCCACCACAACTCCACTGATGAAGACCATGTCATGCAGTTGAAAACTCTGCAAAACTAGTAAGCAGACCTTAAGTCAACAGTATTTTATTCATATTTCCAAGGTAATGAGCAAACCTTTTTTTCACAAAATAAAAGAGTAAACAAGTTAATAATCAACTGACCCTGGAGTTGAGACTAACGTTAACAACCTCACTGTTGGTTATCAACTTCTCGAAGGTCTAATGGTGATTAATGTTAAACTAATCATGGATAAAGATGAATATTCATAAACATTACAACCCTGGACCTCCCAATGTGAACTACAGAGCATGTTGAGCCTCCAGACTGTGCTTAAGTAACATAGAAATCATGTCTCTCTAAAAGTTCCGCTTCATCCGACGCAGCGTTGAGCCAAATGACCGCCGAACAACAGATCACAGGACGGTGTGACGGTGGAGGTTTATGGGCGTTTATTGGAGAAGCAGAACCATGTGGCGTCACGGAGTTCATCTGCGCTTTATGGTGATGTCGTATAAATCCCTCCCGTCTGTGCCTGGTACCATCACTCTGATGGTATTCTGACACACACTTGGCATGACGACAGCATCATACTCACTCAGGTGATAGAGCATTTGTGTCATGATAAGCATGTGGGAGGAAGAACAGGAAAATTCATGGGGAGATCCCTCTCTTTGAAAATGAGCAGCTACGTGAAACTTCCCCAGTGAATTACTTATATTAAGACAATTGGTTTTTTTTGTATATCAAGTTTTCTAAAATGTTATGTTTAAATGTGGCATTATCGAATGCTAACTTTTGGGGAATTCAGGAGAAATGTGTATTTTGGATGTTTTCTTTCCACAAGTTATGGAAAGAAAACAGCCCAAAGTCTGTAACCTGACCGGTGCATGAATGAATGAACATCTGCTTTTACCTGCAGTGTCTCCCCTCAAGCCGCGTGTCGACGTTGCGTGAGAGATAGCACTCTGGTCCTGTGACTCAACCCACTGATCAGCAGTGCAAAGGTATACTGAACTGTGTGTGGGTGTGTGAGAGATAAAGTCGTTTGACATTCTACTGGCAGCATGTGTGTGTGTGAGGCCCCTTTCCTACTGGACAACAAAGCCACAAACATCTGGCTTTTGTCTTCAGCGGGAAAGGTTCCAAACGTCACAGGTATTTATGATCTCCAGTGATGGAAACATGACACCCGGGTGAACACACTCGTCTTTTCGTTCATTCAAACTCCAGAAACACGAAATGAAACCGTCTTTCTTAGTCTCTCCTCTGTTCCAACAGTCACCAACTCTAGTTTTAGAGTTTTAAATCTTTAATTTTTTTGGTTTTAAACAACACTAAAATTGTTTATTTTTGTCAAGTTTTCCCATGTTGAATTAAGCTGCAAATACGCACTCAATCTGGTGGAAAAGGGCTGTAAGTCACATCAGTACGAGGGCTGGGTCTAATGGAGCAGACTCATGGTTTACTCTGAACTAGAAGTGATCTTTACGTAGTGTTACCGCTGAAGGGAATAGATTACATTACATAACATCTTATTGATTTATAACAACAATTGTATCACTGTAGACACATAACCATTCATAACTTTATGATAAAAGGAGAATTTTGTGAAAGCAGAAATACTAATTACTCTATTGTTCATATATATTTATTGATATATTTACATTATACTTTATAGATTTTTCTTATTCTTCTGTTGTAATCTTTGATCATTCTCCGGCACAATAATTTCCTTCAAGACTAATAAAGTTTTATGTTATTTCACTTATATCTTATGAGTAGGGGAAATGATATCTCGCCACAAGTTTTGGAGCTTTGTCACTATATCATCATCTTTTCTATATATAAAAATCAATTAAGAAAAGAAATGAGGAGTGTTCGCCTCTGAGAAGTTAACAGAAACGGCAGCTCTCTAAGAACAATGTTTCATCTCGTTGTGTTGGGGAGATTGTCTTCCAACTCTCTGAAGTTAATAATTATGTTATCTGTCAAATGGTATCTTGCTATCAGAGCCTCTGGCCAACTTACTTCAGATACGTTCTCATGTATCTGAAACACCACCAATCTATCTAATCATGTCATCATCGCCTGAATGTTAATACGGGCTCACAAAGCCCTCGCCCTCAAGCTTCTTTGTTTTGTCAGCAAGTATCACACCAATAAGGCCGGAGTGACTTGACTCTGTTTCTGAGATAGAAACGAACAAATAAAGCTATGAAGACTTCTCAAATAACTGGAAAAGTACTTATTGTCTCATGTATAAGAACAAGGTGTTAACATGCTCACTTTTCAAAGTGATACAATGAACAATAGATTTCTCTGTACACTGTATTGTAATATTTAGAATATGATCACTAGATATAAAAGGGTTCATCAGTTCCTGAGGACTCTGAAAGGGAGTCCATGTCCCGGTATGATGACATCAGCGGTGCGGAGCGCCTCCTGGCGGCTGACCTCCTGCACTGCAGTGTCCATGCTCACATCCCGCCAGCTGTCCTCATCTGAGCAGCACTCAAATAAGTCCCCGGCAACAAGCACTGTGCCCGCTGAGGTTCCCAACACCTGGACGCTGACGTCTTGTCCCGTGTGGCCCGGACTGGGGACGACGGACACCTGTTGGGAGGGAGGAGACACTGTCAGAGCCTGATAGGAAACCTGCAGCACATCACACTGTCACATTAAATAGAAGAACCATGTCACATTAATCAACCCATGTCTATTCCAGCACCATTTGCACTCTACTGTCTTCAAGTGGCATTGTTGTTTTTAAGTACACACTATTTCGAGCACATTGTAGTTAGTTAATTAGTAGTTAAATACATTGTACATTGAGAACAGAAAAGTCATAAATTCCTTTTATGTGGACACATACTTGGCAAATAAAGCTGATTCTGCATTTCTTCCATGTAATGTTCATTTTGTTAGCTATTTTAAGATTTAGTCGAGAGAGAGAGAGAGAGAGAGAGAGAGAGAGAGAGAGAGAGAGAGAGAAAGAGAAAAAGTTAGTTTTAATTCAGTATTGCCCTTTTTTCTTTTTAGAAACTTTTATTTTGAAAATTCTGGGCATTTTATTCTTGTTTTAGTCAAAACCAGTCACCTACACGATAAATATGTAAGTCACTGAAACTGTCAAAGACAAGACCGCTCCAAAGTTGTTCTCTTTTTTTTAAATTCCTAATATCTCTGTATTTGATTGGATTGCTCAACTTGAGGTAAAAATATATCTGTAATTTTATACATGTAAAGAGGCATTATTTTCTCAATTAAAAACAATTATAAAAACACGAAATACCTCATTAAAGTTACTTCCGGTTCCTCCCCACATGTTAATAGGCATTTTTCGTGTACTTTTGTTGATAGTAGTAGTTCACTCACACGAGACTTTAAACTACGTTCCCCTTCAAATCCTCAGAGATACTGGCCAAATCCCAATGTCCCCCCTAAAGCCTAAGCCCTGAACCCTCAAGGACTTACTGACTTCACCTGGTAAGTGGGTGAGTGTGAGAGACTGTGAGGGCTTGAGATGGTGTAAATAAGAATGGAACAGCACTTTGCTGCAACATATCATGTTACCATGAAAACGACAAAAAATATGATGTATAATTGTGTATATTTATTTTATACTGTGTACTCCCTGATTTGAAAGTCTTCCTGGCTCTTTCCTCACAAGATGAGAGGTAACTTCATATCATCTATTTACTCGTCTTTGTCAAAACAGCTTCAATGACAAAATCAAATATTTTATGAATGAATAAATAAATAAATAATCTTCTGATTTCATGTTTATTTTTTGTTCCATCTTTAACCCTTAATGTTTCTGAGTAAATGTAATACTCCAGGTGATCCGTCCTCTTTGTTTACGCCTCCATGCGTCCACTGGTTACCCCGTGTTTTACGTCACATTGCAATGATTTGTGGGTAAGTCCCTTAGGTAAAGTCAGCATACCATGCTGACTTACAAAGGGCTTATAAAATGCTAAAAATGTCTGCGAGAGAGCCCTCAAACACTTGACGATTTGACAGTGGGACAGACCTAAACCCTCACGGACTTCGCGGGAGCGCGCCTCAAAGTCCGCGAGTCCGTAAGTGGGGACATTGGGATTTGGCCACTCACGTGTTCGTCAATAGAGTGCGCGTGCCCCTCTGCCAGCTTGTTGGGGCGGTACGAGTGCCCTTCACTGATGTCATGTCCAACAATCATCACCGCTGTGGGGAAAAGACTCAGATTCCCGATGTGGTCCGAGTGTCCGTGAGTCCCCACGACCACGTCAATGTCCCCCGGTTCCAGGCTCCTCTTCTTCAGCGTCGTTAGGAGGAACTCCCGGTCCCACGGCCCGCCGGTATCCACCAGGATAGTCCTGGGTCCCGTTATGAGGGTGATGGTACCATTAGCTTTGAACGTCCCGTCGCTCTGAGGGAGACAGTATCCGGCTTTAAGGACGGACACGGAGTACGGCTGACCGGGGAAGTCCACCTCTGAGAGAGGGACTGTTCTCAACTCACCACAGACCACTTTACTGTCTGTCCCCATTATACTAGACACAGACTGTAAACTGTAACATCAGCATCAGGGTAGCATAAACGAGCACCTTCTTCTTCTTCTTCTTCTTCTTCTTCTTTAATGGCGGGTTGAAGCCGTTGTGTATAAGGTGCATACCGCCACCTAATGTACCGGAGTATGTAGTACAAAATAATGTCGAGATATTTATTGTACAGTATATCATTAGGTAAATACAGTAATACTTTAATTATAGTATTTATAATTATAGAAAACAAACAACTGTGAATAAGATCAATACTATCCCTCTCCCAGGACGAGGACAGACATGCAGACGTAGCAAAATATAAAAAGTTGCTGAGTCAGTCATTCAAAATCAGAATGTCTAATTAGTAATTAAGTGTTCACTTGTAAAGTCTGATACTAAGCCACATTTAAAAAAATACTTTATAGCAACAGTTAAAGATTCAAAACAATATAAAATATTTGGTTATAAAGACAACGTCCTGACAGAATACAAAGGACACATTTGCATCTAATCCAATCACACCCGAAGAGCACAGACACGCCATTCAGAGTCTAGAATGTATGATGAAGGAAAATCTATGGATGGATATATAAATTTATTTGATAGATATTTGATGAGAATATATATATATATATATATATATATATCAGTGGATGTTTATCAGCTACCCAGCCAGAGCTGCACCCAAAATCGGTCTGTTTCCTTCCTTGTTCCTAGAACTCGTGTAAAACCAGATTAGCCATTCACTGATTTCTGCTGCCCTCTAGTGGACCTCTGGTGGAATCAGCTCCAAAACACACAGTCTCAATGTAATTATGGAGCTTCTCCAGCGAAGGCCAACCGTAAAGTGCACCACCATAATCCAGCAAAATACCTAAATCTATGCTCCATAGTTTATTGTTGCGAAGACGTTCCAAACACCTGATATTTATAATCTTTATATATATAAAATAAATCTAAAGATCCTCACACCCTCTTCCATGCATCTTTAAACTGATGTCAAGGATTCGTTTTTCACCAGCTATGCATACCCAGACACATGCCCACTGTTATTAATTGCCATCATTGGAAAAAATGATGTCTGGCCACAAGTTTTGGAGCTATTTCACTTTATCATCTTCTATACATGAAAAATAAAAAAGGAGAGGAGCGTTAGCAGGATAAGGACTTCATGAGTAAATAAAGGAGGGAAAGTCAACTTGACTAGTTAAGGATCTGCAGACAGCTTGTAAATACACATAATGATCAATGGGACTGTCCTCTCATGTGGTCCTGTGTCCGACATGAGAGGACATATTAAGAGAATATTGATGGGCCACAACTGTGTTTTTAACCCAAACCATAATCTCACTGTAGCTGTTTCACTAAAACATTAAACTGGATATTATGAGCTTCGTGAGATAAGGTGGTATTCTGTGAGATGGTGCAGGCATGTCCAATAAACTGTTGACTCTTGGCAGTATGATAAAATATCACCTACAAACAGAGATACGGGCTTTATAATATCTGAATGTAGGCACCAAACAACATCTGTGATTTAATTGTATTCTTTAAATGGTCTTAATGCTTTTTTTATAAAAGCCTTTCCTGCTCATTCAGAAACATCATTCTGGAAGAGGAAATCCCTCTCTGATGTTTCTTTAAAGTTTTGCCTTAAGGCAGTCACATTTAAAGATATTCACTCTGACTAAACACTTGTGTACCCGTAGAATATAAGAGACTCACAGGGTTGGTAAACCTGCAGCCCTTTTCCACGTAAACATACTGTTTAGAAATAACTGCTGTCTGTAGTTCTTTGTTACATTCATAATGTGGGCGGTGGTGAGCCAGCGTAGTCGGGACTTACCGTAGACACTTAGCTGTTAAAGTGGATTGTGACGTTAAACTGAGTAATAAACAAATGAGGCCAAAGTCTCAAGTCCAGACACAAATGAAGCGATCAGAATATTGTTTCACAGGTAAACAAGAGACACATCTCGGGCAGTGAGTAAGTCCTTTTGATCATCACATCACATTTCACTGTATTTAAGGTTTACAGAACGCTCTTGATCCATAAATTAGGAATGACCGATTTGACTTTGTTCATTCTCGTGTTGCGTCATCATGACGGCTCCAGTGTTTGGAAGCAGTTAGATTCATAGTGAAGTCCAAAAAGACTTCTTGTAAAAAATGGGATTTGTTACATAGCCAACATGAATTTGTTCGTAGGTTTATGAAAGTGTAACCGAGAGATCATTTTAAAAATGAGCGTGATTGCTTTGCTGGTGTTCTAGAGGTTGGTACGAGCTGTTTTATCACACTGCTTTATGATGTAAACCGTGCTGTTTTAAAGCTACCTGCAGTATTAGTGTGGACTTGGCCAAAGGGGACTCCTGTAGGAATGTACCTTATGATACCTCGACAGGACTACAAGCAAACTGAATATGATGGAGATTGTTTTGGGATGGTGCTGTGGATCTTTTCAACTTATCTCTCATCAAAAGAGTTACATTGAAACCCCACATAACATTCTTTCAACTTTCATAAAATGTGCACATCTACAATATCTACGCAGGACAACAACAGCACGGTTATTAGGGTAAGATTGTGGTTAGTGGTAGACCAAAATGTATTGTTACCAGGACGCAAACTCACCCATCCACCTCCAAACCCTTAAAGGTGCAGGAAGTGGCCAGAATTGTTGTTCAAAACATTCAAAAGATAAACTATAATTATCGACAGAATGTGAAGAGGTTACAGTGTTGACATCCTGTCTGAGACGTTTATGTACATACGTAGATATCTACTGAAAGTAGCATGCTAACCAGCTAGCCGCAGCCTGTCCTGATATTGGAAAAGGCCAAATGTGATAATCCTTTAAATATGGGAAGAGTGGTGCTCGGTTTTATACATTCTCTTTTCAAAGACATTCATAGTGTTGCATTTGGTTGTTCACATGAAAAGTGAAAATTTCCATTTCCAACATCAGGAGGAAAAGGTTTCAGATGCTCCCTTTGAGGTACGATTGAAGCACCTTTACTTCCTGCCGTGCTACATTTATGACACACTATTTCCCGCAGTGGCACTGATTGTGGTATAATCACATCCAATATGGAAGTCGTTCCTGGAGATGCAGGCCAAAAACATCTGTGTAGACATTGATGTTCCCAAGAATCCTACAGACTCTTCACCTACAGCAGCTCCAGCAGCTAGTCAGAATTTGACACCATCCAGTGAAATACCTCCACTTCTGAGTGGGTTGGCACAAACTTTGGCACAAACTTTGGTACAAACATGCGTGTCTCCCAAAAGGATGACTTACCAACGATAACTGTGAAACATGTATTATATATATATATATATATATATATATATATATATATGCTGGCACCTGTTTAATGTTGTCACATGTCTTTATGCTGCTGACTCTGGATGGAGGATGGCAGCGAGTACTCCAACCTCAGCAGAGACCCGGGCTCAGCCCACACTCACCAGGAAGCAGGTATTCTTGTGTGATGGGCAGCTTACTACACCAATGATGCAACATTACCACAAACTACAGCTATGTGACTCAACACCTCTGACCAGAGTTGAAAGAAAAATGTATGAATCAAAGATTGTTGTCTTCTCTACAGACTAAAGCCCTGGAGAAAAGTTGTGCTTCCAGCTCGTCACCATGGAATAAACCCAGCCTCAGTGAATTACAGGTCAACTAAACATCATATAACATGATTACATGAGGGTTTGATGAACACATGAAAGCATCCCAATTGTCACTGAAGTGTCGTATTGCTTCTGCTCCCACTAGATCAATGATTTTGAAGACTCATCGCACAGCTGTCCGGTTCGGAGCGGTCCTTCTGCAACCAAGGTAAGCAACAGTGTGTTGATGGACGGAAAAAAGTGGAAAAGAAAGAAAGAAAGACACTGAATGGGCCCACAGGATAAACTTTCTTTCTTTCCAGCCTAATATAAAGTCAATGCAGAGTCTGCAACAGTGCATACAACTTCTTCATGAACTGGCGGACGAGGTCAACAACATCAGCCAGGTAGGCAACACATCCCACAGCACTCCTGTTTGTAGCTATTACGGGGCTATTTTCTCATGCTATGATGTTAGTCCAAGGGCTGCACGGTGGTGTGGTGACTAGCCTCACAGTAAGAGGGGCCAGGGTTCAATTCCCGGGCTAGATGGGCCTTCTGTGTGGAATTTGCATGTTCTCCCAGTGGCCGCGTGGGTTCTCTTTGGGTTCTCCGGCTTCCTCCCACAGTCCAAAGACATGCAGCTTAGGTTAATTGCCCGTAGGTGTAGATGTGAATGGTTGTGTGTCTCTATGAGTCAGCCTTGCGATAGTCTTGCTGCCTGTCCAGGTGAACCCTGCCTTTGCCCAATGTCAGCTGGGATCGGTTCTAGCCCCCCAGCCTACCCTGAATAGGATAAGCGGTTAAAGATAATGGACGGATGTTAGTCCATTGTACATGACGTCATATCCCTAAGATACGACTGCACAAAAGTAAATGTGGAAGATGCGTATATGTGGGTGCGTATATTGTGAACACATTCTTCTAATTTATATGGTGCAGATTTACAGAGATCTGACAAAGCAGCGATACTTACAAAAATTCACTACAGAAACATTTAGGTTATGGTTCATATGTTTAACATTCATTTCCATCTTTGCTTGATTTAGAGAAAGCGAGGCGGTAAGAAGGCTGCACCAGAGGGGAGCACCAAAGAACCGGGCAGCCTGGAGACCAGCAGGACTCTGGTCCTCCAGTGGGCCAAGGAGCTGGAGCTAAACATGGTTATTAAACATCATTCATTAATGCCCCTTTAGTTCATTTTCTGTTCTCTGCACCTTTAATTGTCAAACTAATTGGACTTCCTCTTACCTGTACTTACTTTTTTCACATTAAGTAGTATCCTTATTATTATTAAGTGTGTATCCTTGAGGCTTATCGAGCATGTTTCCTGTTCTTTAAAAATGTATTGAAACTTGCATTGGTTCTAGTAAGCCTGCTTGTGGTCTTCACCTTTACTTTTATTGTCCTACATTGATTGCACATCCATTATACTGCCTCTAAATGACCACCCTCTGTTATATCCCAAACTTATTACACTAACTCAATGCTTAAACAATGCAAAGCCCCTCTCCACACCGCTTCTCTGCCCCACTAGTGAAGAGTAAATCCTGAGGCCTGTTTCTTCTTGTGGCCATCAGTCATTGTTATACAAGACAGTAACTCTGTTATTATTATTTATTCTACTCACAGGCAAAAAAAGAAACCAAGCCAACAGATGAAAAGACAAGAAGGAGAGATGATGATGACGGAGGAAAGAGAGAGAAAACAGAGGTGGAGAAACACAATGAGAAGCTTCAGCAGTGGGCGGTGGAGCTGAGGAATATCCTACAGGTATGTATCTGTGCGTGTGTGTGTGTGTGTGTGTGTGTGTGTGTGTGTGTGTGTGCGTGTGTGAGGGAGGGAGATAGAAACCAAATTCTCTCAAACCAAAGCCAAAGCAATCCTGAAAATGCTGTGTGTGTCTGTGTGTGTGTGTCTGTGTGTGTGTGTCTGTGTGTGTGTGTGTGTGTGTGTGTGTGTGTGTGTGTTGCCAGTCTAATGGCCTGTCTGATGAGGAGCTGAAGAAGCTGCTGTATCCCAGAGGACCAAAGGAGTCGAGGATAGCCGCCATCCTTCCACTGCTGGAGTTTGTGGCTTGGTCCCTGTTATCCGAGGACACTGAGGTGTGTGTGCGTGTGTATATCCCCACATGTTGTGGGGACATAAGTCTGTTTTCCAGAGAAATGCAAGTCCCCACAATGTAAATGACTACATTTTAAAGTGATGACCTGGTGTAAGGTTAGGGTAAGGGTTGAGATTAGACAAGTAGTGGTTATAGTTAGCGTTTGGGTTACTCTGCTAGAAATGAAAACACATTCTCACTCTCACACCCATTGTCTATTCAAAATATACTTCCAACTTAGAGAAGTTAAATTTTGAGGTTTACTTGGCAACAAAAGTACTTGGTTAAAATAAGAACAGTCACGTAACTGATCTTTGCGGCATTAGTTCGGTCCGTAAGTTACGTTACAAAAGAAAATCAACATTGACTTTCACACGGGACGTAAATGTCCATCCGACCTCCTCCCTAAGTAGACTATCTTGTTCTTTATACTACGCCGGTTGCTCTGAACATCTAATTATGATTCGGAAGGGTTTACATCAGGCAGCAACCTCCAGTTCTGGAAAGTGAAGCCGATGTGGAAGTGCCCTAAACGTGCATTCTCTCTAGTGTCCACCAGGGGGCGACTCCTCTGGTTGTATAGAAGTCTATGAGAAAATGACTCTACTTCTCTCTTGATTTATTACCTCAGTAAACATTGTAAACATGAGTTTATGGTCTCAATCTCTAGTTTCAAGTCTTCTTCAATACAGTATGATGTTCATTTATTAAATTATGGTCCATTAGAGTCAAACAGACCTGAAAGCATGAATATTATTCTACAGGAGGCTGTGTCAATGCTGTGGCTGCCAACCAAACAAAAGGCCTGGAGGACAGGGAGTGGAAGCCCCAGATACATCCCTAACTCAGGTGAGTCAGCTGCTTTGAAAAATCCTCAAAATAGGTTTGAGTTCCTCTTTGTTCAGCCATGACCTGATATCTTATCATCAGCTGGTAGTGTGACGGATTTCAGCAGGCTGAGAGGGGAAAGATTATAGATGCTACTTGTTACCTTTGATATTGGAACACAAGAAATAAAATGCTGCATACCTATGATATAATATTGTATTGATTTTCAGTGTGGCAGTGGATTCGGAGTGCCTCAGGTAATCTTTATTCTATAACTTATGAGTGGTCTGCAAAACAGAAAATGATCAAATTGAATACTGCTTGCTGCTTCCAGCACTGTCTCCACCAACAATATCATTTGAATCCTAGTGTCTGTCCAGTTGGACATCAGCACCAGCCCTTCCTGGCTGGCTGTGTCCTCAGACCGCCTGCAGGTCCAGCAGGCAGCGGTGCGCTCCGCTGCTCCCTCATACAGCAGCCAGCATTCGGATGAGTGGCTCTGCGTCCTGGGTGACGCCATCATCACCGCGGGGAGACACTACTGGGAGGTGGAGGTGTCCCCCGGCGGCGACTGGAGAATAGGTGTGATGTCAGCGTCGGCTCCCAGGAAGCAAAGGCCCCACATGTCACCAAGGAGAGGGTACTGGACCCTGTGGAAGAGCTCCTCCTGTTTGTGGGCCCGCACCGAGGAGCCCACCAAGCTGCAGAGGGCAGCTGTGCCCCGACTGATCGGGGTGTATGTGGACGTGGCGGAGGGTCAGGTGTCTTTTTATGATGTCGATCTAAGGGTTCACATTTATACTTTCTCTGACACCTTCAGACGCAGTCTCGTCCCCGTGTTTGGCTACCTGGACAGAGACACGGTCCTTAGAATCGTACCACCAGATGTCAGTAAATGACAGAAACATGTAGATACGGAGACTGGTGATGAAGATAACATGTTCTCTTCAATCATAGCCTCCTTTGGCACAAATGACTAGATCAGATATGTTGATGGTAGAATAAGAGTATGGATCACCTCACCACGCTACTTTCAACCTTTTTTCATCACAGCACTTGTAAATGTCTGCACTTTGTTGCATTTAATCAAATGAATGAGATGAAATACTGTTTTATCCTTCTTGCTTAACAGAAACACCATCACACATTCTACTAGTTATTGAGAAACAAATATGTAATCGAATTACAGTTACTAATCAAAATGTTTCTGATTATAGTTATATCCACACACACAAAAAATCTGAGAAAGAAACGTATTTGAATGTAATATTCATTGTAACATGTATTGAACTATTGACATCATGAATGCTAAATAAACATATACATTCAAAGAAAGAAGGAAAATGACTCCCAGAGGAAAAGACATTCTTAAAGGTTCTGATTGGAGAAGAGCTCAGCTATTACCATATGCATTCTGTATACCATATATATATAGATATATATATTAATGATATAATAAGATTAAAAACAAAGACACATTTTACACATATATAATATATATCCAGACAATTTATATTTCTCCAGATTTCATAGATATTGAAATAAAATGTAATCTCTGTAATGATGAACCAGAGTGTAAAACACATTTATTTCACAATGCACAAATCTTACTTTTTGGACTTGGATGAAAGATTTGTTGTGTAAATAATATATCATAATATCAAAATTGATTGTAAAAGTGTCACACATTTTTGGCTTGGGTTGGTATTTTTGTGGGTTACTTTAGTAGAAATGGTAAACAATAACAACAACACATCCCGAAGCAGTGACCAAGAACATCTGGAAGCTTGTTGTAGTTTGTTTGTTTTCTTTGATTCTGAATTACACATTTAAAGTAACGTTTCCTCGTGTGGGCCCCACGAAGAGTAATGAAGAGTAGCTGCTACCTTGGCAGTGGCAGCCAATCACAACCAAGCAACACAAACGTGTTTCACTTTTCTTTATTTTCATTAAAAAGGCAGCGAGAATCATCAACAATCACCCGACAGAAAAGTGTTGGTAAATGTAACAAAGCAACAGGAGACGGCTTCCTTCGGTTTAATAATAAGGAAATGCACTGAGTCTTTGGAGCAGCCTTCAACCATAACAACATTAAAAGGCCACCAGGCTGTGGACCCGGAAATACTAACAGGCAAGAAAGCTTTCCATGGCTGCACTGGTGCTGATATCCTCCCGTTGATCACTGGGGAGGGAGACCAGCCTGTGTTCGGGTTGCAGGCCAGCGGAGGCTGTATTTACTGGCAGGTGTCCCAACAGGAGCTGCTGTGTCCCTGGATATCTGCTGCACACATGGAAGAGATGACGAGAGAGACAATGGGAAGAGGCTCACGTGGTGTTCTGGCTTTTCAACCTTTGTACACAACTTGTTTTGGGAGAACATAGTTTAGGCACCTGAGCACCAGTTAAACGGAGAGCAGCTTGGCTGTCAGCCGGCTGGTTTTGTGACATCACAGACACACCCAAATCCAAAATGCCTAATCCAGGCCTCAGCAGCCGGACATCTGCACTGCCTTAAGAGAGTTAGCCTAAAGCAGGGGTCTCAAACTCATTTTCACTCTGGGCCACATCAGCATCACGGTCGCCCTCAAAGGGCCGGTTGTAAATGTAACTACTCCTAACATATTGGGAAATAACTGTCTCTGCATTTGATTATTGTTTATTCAAGTGTAAAAATATTGTACATGCAGTTATATAAATGTAAAAATATATTTAAGCACATTTCTGTTATTATAACTTAAATCCTTTTAATTTAGGATTAAGAAACCCACATCACTCTATCAAAGATCAAACTATTAAAGAAAATAGCAAACACAAGTTATTACAATAACTTTGTTCAAAGCTTAAAATCCTTTCAAGGATGCGTTTGCACAATCCCACGTGAAGTATGTCATGTGTATTAAAGCCACGTTTAAAGTATTCTTCAATGTACTCACAATACATTTCATGTCAAGTGTAGCCTACAGTAACCAGCCAAAGAGCTGTAAGTATCTCATCATTATGACTTTCTGTCTCATAACTTTGACTTTCTATCTCATAATTTCGACTATTGGGATATTGTTATTATCAAATCTAACTTTACATTTCTTTTTTTTTTTTTAACTTTTTTTTATCTGGCGGATTCGCGGCCACATAAATTAACGTGGCGGGCCGATTGATATTGTAACCGTAATTTAGCTGGTTGGAAAGACGGTGAAAATACAGTAGGTCTAAGACGTTCAGGCCCCATTTCAACGAGTTTTAAACCAAAAATCAACGTTGAAATCCAGGTTAGTTCTCACTGGGTTCTGTTGCTCTGTTGCAATCTTAATATTTTTTAATAAAAGTTTGACATTAATCAGTGTCGAGTGCTGTTTTGAGGTTTACACTGCCCGGTTTATGTTGATGTTTTTCGGACTTTTCCGCTTTATTGTCCAGTTTAAAACATTTGTAAGAAAATCAATCAAAAAGTAATCAAATGTTGAAATGTTACATCACTTTGACAACGTTTTAACAGTCTTTTTAAACTAGTAATCTGTAAACACTTTTTAAAGTGACCTTCTTCAACAACACCGCTAGCTCATAGTTGTGTTCAGCCAGCGGAACCTTTGTAATGTAATGCGAACTGGCGGACCTCCTTTAGTGTTACACATTGAACGGAAACGTCA